GACTCAACCCTTTTTTTTTAGATAGAGTCTTGCTCTATCGCCCAGGATGGAGTGCAGTGACGTGATCTCGACTCACTGCAACCTCTATCTCCCTGGTTCAGGCAATTCCCTTGCCTCAGCCTCCCAAGTAGCTGGGGCTACAGGCACACATAACCACGTGTGGCCAATTTTTTTATATTTTTAGTAGAGATTGGGTTTCACCATGTTGGCCAGATTGGTCTCAACTTCCTGACCTCAGGCAATCCAGCTGCCTGGGCCTCCCAAAATGCTGGGATTACAGGCATGAGCCACTGCACCCGGCCTTAACTCCATCTTTCCAATATAAACATGCTAATCTATTTTTCTCCCAAAGCAATAGATGGGGAGGGGGGAGGGGGGAGGGGGAAGGGAGTTGCTGACGAATGTGATTGCTGTGCAGATGAGATTCCTGAGTTGAGGGATGCAGTGGCCTTCTAGTACCTCTGGTGACCTCCCACTGTGCGGACAAACTGGGTTTGACTAAAGCCCAGTCCCTTTGGGTGCTTGCTCCTTTGTAGTGGCAAAGGGCTACATGATTCAGGTAAAATGCCACCCTTGTGGGCACTGTCGGACTTCCATGTTCAGTTTCTTGCAACGGAATTTTGCTAAGCATAAACAGTGCTTTAGAAAGCACGATATCCATTTTTAGGATCTGGAAATTGAACAGGACTTACATTCTTTTTGGGGTAAAGTAATATACAAAAATAAGTGTTCTTTCTCCTCCTAGTATCTTGGGTCTTTTTGTATGATACCGTTCTTGGGTGAGCTTGTTTATTTTAGAGGTTTTGAATGTCTGAGTAGGAGAGGGGAACTGAAGCCTTAATGGAAAGACAAAGAACTAGGAAGAGTTCAGTAGGCTCACACCTCTGATGGATTCTTCCCATCTACAAAGGCAGTCACACAGCCAAATTCTTTCATTAAAGAAAAGACTTTTTCAAAGATATCAAAAAAATCCTTTGGGATTTTCACCTTAACAGCGTCCTCATCTGGGAATGTTGTCAATAACAGCAATTCCTCCTAGACTTGCAGAGAGGATCGGGATGATGTACAGTTTTAAGCACAATGCATTGTAAACGGTGAGTAACCAACCACAAGCCATCATTACCATTATTATTATTGATGCCCAATGCCAAAGGAGGATGGCAGTGGAGGAGGCCTCCCTAGGGCCTGGACAAAGGTGTAAAGTAACAGTAGCTTGTCTTTGATTCTCTTCCAATTCTCTTTGGCCCTCACCTGATTCCCTTCCAATGTCAATAGCTCACTCAGGCCTGCTTGCTCTTAATAACTGGATACGAAGTTTTCTCTCTTCATCTCCATGCTCTGATGTTTCAGAATAAAGCACTTCACAATCAGGTCTGAATTACTAATAGGTTTAATCTTAAGATATTTGACTCTTAAGAGGGGAAAAAAAGAGGGGCTACCTATGAGGGAATGCTTAGGCTACATGTAGAAAATAGAAGTTTCTACAGATCATGTGATTGTAAGTTGAGTGACTTAATCACAGATAATTTTTCTCATTAAAAAAATGGTTTTGCATGTTTTTCTAGAGTCGAATGCAAATATTACTTTCTCCTGAAAAGTAAAATGAAGAAAAGATCTTTGCATTTTTATCTGTTTCCCAGAAAAATTGGGAATGTATATCCAGAAATTTTATTACATAATTAAAATTAACCATTAATGTCTTGCTGCAAATTCAGTCTCAGAAATTGTCAGAATTCACTCCCTTCTGTCCCTCAAAGTTGGGCTCAAACTTTGAAAACACCTTCCTTTTATGCAGCTGCTGGTCACCAAGGCCTTTCACTGTCTTCTGAAACACTCAGTCTGCTGTCAGAGCTCTTCACTGCCTACAGATGCCCCTTCAATACCAATGTCCAGCTGCTCTTTCTTGCATTTCAGCCTCACTGCATCAGCAGCCCACTCTGAAGCACTCCGTTGTCTGCTGTGTCAAGTAAGGTCTTTTCTGCCCAGCTTCAAGTCCCCTTAGACATGGGCTCTACTTGATTCTGTCTTCCACTTTTTTCTTAAAAATTAATCGGATTCTTTGTTTAGGCAACTTTTCTCACCTTCCAATGAGGAGGTGCTGCTTACTCTACTCCTTCCTCCGTACTAGTACTCACAGCATTCCCCTGTGCCTGGAAAGGCCCTTCTAGAGCCTTCCACATACAAAGATCCTGCCTTTTCCACCAGTCTTTCCTTGCCCATTCGAGCTTTCATGCCCATCTTTCTCTTCTTTTAGCTGTTTATGCCAGGTCTTGCACTTCTTATGCTTTTCTCAGAGCATCTAGTACTGCTTTTGTGTTGTAATAATAGGCAAATCTGGATGAATAATTGTGAAAAGGCATTTCTAACTTATAAAAGTTCAGAACCTATTTTGGAGGACACAAACTGGACTGCAATACTGGCCATTCTCGGCATGTGGACTTCAGACACTGTATGATAAGCTCTGATAAAAAAGAAAATAACCACCAAGCACAAATAAATGACAATATTTGACTTTTGGTAACATATAGTTCCTCATAAAAAAACACAGAACACCCCGCGTTATGAGGATAGCATGGGCCCCGCCGTACTTGAATGGTGCAGGCAGGATGGTCTGGTAGTTGTAGTGCTGCTTTTGCTGACTGAGGATCTGTAGCTGTAGGAAGAGCTGCTGCTGCTGGAGCAGGCGGGCGTAGTTGGAGTCCATCTGCGGCTCATGCTTCTCACCCTTCTGATCTGGTGGAATGTATTGGTGGTACTTTAACTTCTTTACCCGTGGTTTGGGATCTTTGCACTTTTTGCTACGGTGTTTGTCATTTGAATTTTTGGGATGGCTTTGCTATTTTTGAGAAAAAAAGAAAATAACATTTAAAGAGATGTCATCACATGAAATCTACTGTATTGTGTGCCTAAATGATTTGAAATTAAAAAGAAATGTACCTTAGATATGAGTACGGTTACTTTGGAAAAAAATATGCTACATTCATTTCAAGAGCCATGAAAACGTTTGCATACTAACTTTGACCAAGAAATTTTCTCCTGCTGCACTATTCCCTCAGGGTTTGGGTAAGATACTGAGCGTGAGCTATTCAAACTCAACGCACACTGACCTTGGGTCTCCAGTGTGAACACCCTACCCAAGTAATAATATACACATATCATCTCCTAGTGAAAAATAGGCTGCATGATAAATATACAGTAGAGAAATGATTAAGTATACTTCTTCAAAACCATGTAATAGCTAAAAATTCTGTGGAAAATATGTGGAAAAAAAAAAAGCTTCCAATGAGAAGAAAACAGAATATAAACTATCTCTAAAGAATATAATACAAAAACTATTGAGTGATATGAATATGAATTTTTTTCAAAAATAGTGCATTTTTACTTTGAAACTGGGATGGGAGACCATGTTTCTCTCAAGATTAGGAATCAGATGATGTTTTCCTGAGTTTTTTTGTCTTCTCAGTTTATAATTTATCAGATCACTTTATACTTTTCACTATTCAGATTCTAAGATAACTTCATCTGACAAAACCCATCCAAATAAACAAAAAACAAAATATAGGAAGGTATTCCTAAGCTTCTTTAGGGAATATACCCAACTTAATACAAAGACTTGAGAAGTACTCAATTAAATGGAGCTATTGATAAGATCACATTATCTATATTCATAACCAAAGAATTAGGACACTGCCACCAAAGATAGGAAGAAAACAAAACTCACTGCATTCTATAGGTTAGGAATAGTCTAATTTCTAATGTTAGGCTATTCTAGCATTCATAGAATGTGACTATTAACATTCCTTTATATATCCTTCCTTCATATATGTTTTAATATAATTGGGATGACACCATCCATCTACGCTTATTAGAAATGTGCCTTTCTCTCTCTTCACTTGATATGTCATGAATTCTTTTTTTCTTTTTTCTTTTTTTGAGACGGAGTTTCACTCTTGTTACCCAGGCTGGAGTGCAATGGCGCAATCTCGGCTCACCACAACCTCCGCCTCCTGGGTTCAGCAATTCTCCTGCCTCAACCTCCTGAGTCGCTGGGATTACAGGCACGCGCCACCATGCCCAGCTAATGTTTCGTATTTTTAGTAGAGACGGGGTTTCACCATGTTGACCAGGATGGTCTCGATCTCTTGACCTCGTGATCCACCCGCCTCGGCCTCCCAAAGTGCTGGGATTACAGGCTTGAGCCACCGCACCTGGCGTCATGAATTCTTAAATCCCTTGTATAAAAGAATGTTTCTGCAACAATATTTTTGTGGCCGTTTTTACATAACAGTTTACAGACATAGCCAGTGAGGTGCTGGAGCCAGCTCTTACTCAAGAGAGACAATAGTGCATCTTCTTCCAACTCTGCATTCAGCAATATCACATTGGTAGCCTGAAAATGGTCACTGTGGGAATATTTACACCATGGGAACTGGCAAAGGCTATAATGGGCCCTCTGAGCCCAGCCACTTATTAAACATTTACCCGCATACTACTGGACATAATATCCAATTAATTAGTAGCCCATTTTTAAGCACTGGTAAATAAGAATTTGTAAGAAGTAACTATGTATTGGAAAGGATATATTCTTGTTAATCTCATCTCATGCCTTCAGACTTGACCATCAGGACCTGGTCTCCTCCTAGTTCTTAATGACTCCTATGACACACCTGAGACTCCCACTGCTGCTTGCTTTCTTCAACATTACTTCAGTCACTACACTATTCATGGTGATTTTAATATCCACACATACATTCCTTCTAACATTCTGCTCTCTCAGTTCCTTGACTTCATTACTTCTAGGTATCTCATCACCTCTCTCTGCAAGTCACTGTGTGATTATAGCCTAGATCTCATCATTATCTAAACCTCACTTCCCAGCATCCTGGTATCTGATACCCACCAGGTATTCTGTCATTTCACTCCATCCAGGATGCCAACTATAACAATTATTTGATGCCACTGAGACCTACAATCCCTTTCTGTTCCAACCTTTACATGTTCCTCACTTCCCTCCTTACCCAGCTATATCCCACAGTCCCCTCACTTGCACAGTTCCCTCTTTGTCATACACACCTGGCAAAACACTTATTAATTCTCTGTCTCCTTCTGTTTCTTGACAATGGCTCTACTGATGTTTTGAGCTATGTAACTGTGTTGTGGGAGTCTATCCAGTGCACTGTTTGATATTTAACAACATCCTTGGCCACTACCCATTAGATGCCCCTAGGAACCTCTACCCACGCCCCTCGTCCCCCACATTGTTGTCCCAACCAGAAACGTCTCCAAGCATTGCCAAATGTCTGCAGTGGGAGACAAACTTACCCTGCTGAGAACCAGTGGTCCACTTCATGCCTGTACTCATATAACTGAAAGTGGCTACAGGAAAAACATAAAACCATGCTGACAAGTCTCACTTTAAGCTCATGACCACCTACTTCAAGGGCTCATCAGTGCTACCTGGCCAACCTGTTACATTTTTCTGGTCCTTTAATTTTCCTACCCTTCTAGAATATTGCCTTATATCTTCTCTTCTCTCCCCAAAACTTTAATATTCCCCCAACCCCATTCTGTCAATTGAGGTCTCATTGCCTAAACACTGAGAACATGTAAGTGATCAGCACAGAGCTTACGCACGCTGTGAATGCCTGCCTGTGCTGGGACTCTGAGCGCTTTCCTTCCTGCTGGTGTTGCTGTCTCAGGCTGGCCCTTCCCTCTTCAACTGGATTCTGTGTTCCCTCGGCGACACCTGGCTGTGGTTCCCTGCTCTTCTCCTAGATCACTCCCATGGGACCACAAATAGCTTCCTTGACCCTACATTGCAGTGAATCTACAGACCATTTCTTTGTGCTCTCAAGAAAAGCTTTCTGTAACACCATCTCCAGCTCTGACTCTCAGGCTTTCTTGTGACCACCCATACCAAGTTTTCAGAAACTGTTCTTGTCAAGGTCGCTGTGCTTCAACGCAGCTAAACCAAGGCCAGTTTGCAGCACTCATCTTAACTGAGGCACAGCAGCCTTTGATCCAGTTGCTCTCTCTCTTGTCGTTGAAATGTGCTGGCTTCAGAGCCACCTTGCCTCACTCTTGCTGGCTGTTTTTGCTGAGTCTCCTTTGCTGGTTCTTCCTCTCTCTCTCAAATGTTGGTGGTTCCCAAGGACTCATTTCTTGCATAGCTTTTTATCGGTACTTAGACCCTAGGTAATTTTACTGGGTTTCATGACTTTAAATGCCATTTATACACTGACAACCTCTCGCCTAAAGTCTGCACTCATCTATCCAGCTGCCTCTACGCCATCTCGACTAATTGCCCACGCAGCACCTCACACTCCGGGTGTACTCCTTTCCATTTCAGGCATGGCAACTACAAGCTGCTAGTTGCGCAGACACAAAACAATAGATGGTTCATGACTCCTCTTCTTAACACCACATATCCAACTTGTCCGCAAATCCTGCTAGTTTAGCCTTCAAATGCAGCCAGAATCCAACCACTTCTGTTATCTTGCTGGCTGCCACTGTCTCCTGCTGTGCATTTTACCTGTCTCTGCTTCTACCTTTGCACCCTACTGTTTCTAACACATTTCCTCAAAATATTCCAGCAACTTTTCCCCTTAGTGGTAATACAAAGCCTAACTTATGTTTTTTTTTTTTTTTTTTTTTTAAGACAGTCTTGTACTGTCACCCAGGCTGGAGTACAGTGGTGCGATCTCAGCTCACTGTAACCTCTGCTTCCTGGGTTCAAACGATTCTCCTGCTTTAGCCTCCTGAATAGCTGGGATTACAGGCGTCCACCATCACACCCAGCTAACTTTGTGCATTTTTAGTAGAGATGGGGTTTCACCATGTTGTCCAGGCTGGTCTTGAACTTCTGACTTCGTGATTCACCCACCTTTGCCTCCCAAAGTGCTGGGATTATAGGCGTGCGCCACCGTGCCCAGCCAAAGCCTAACTTCTTACAAGGCGCTACAGATGCTGGTTTCTGGCCACAACCTGGCTGCATAGTTTACTTGTTACCCCTCCGCTATTGCTATTGGAGTCATATTGGCTTCCTTGTTCAGAGACTTCAGATTTTCTTCCTACAGATATCTTCATGGCTCACACCCTCACTTCTCAAGTATCATCTGCGTATCCCCAGACCACCTCATTTAAACGACACACCTCTCCTTGTCCCCCCAGCATCCCTGTCCTCACATTACTCATCACCACCAGGCACACACTCTACTTGGTTGTCTGTTTTTCTAAGGGTGGGGATTTGTGATGTTTTGTTCCTTGCTTTATCTATTCCTAGTACCCAGAACAGTGCCTGGCACATAGAAGGTGCTTGAATAAGTATCTGTTGAACAAATGCATGGTGAATATGTATGCTAATTGGAAATCAGTTTAATTACCAGGTGCTTAAGGTATATACCTCAATGCCAGAAAACACTTTCACCTACTTATTCCTTCAGTCTCACAATATTAATCATTTCACTATTTACCTGCTTATTTCATTATGAACAATACATTTTATTTATTTGCTTATGAGACAGGGTCTCACTCTGTCACCCAGGCTAGAGTGCAGTGGCATGATCTTGGCTAACTGCAGCCTTGACCTCCTGGGATCAAGTGATCCTCGCACCTCAGCCCTCTGAGTAGCTGGGAGCACAGGTGTGCACCACCATGCCAAATAATTTTTTTGAACATTTTATAGAGATGGGGTTTTGCCATGTTGCTCAGGCTGGTCTCAAACTCCTGCGCTCAAGTGATCTGCCTGCCTTGGCCTCCCAAAGTGCTGGAATTACAGGTGTGTCACCATGCCTGGCTATACATTTTATTTTTAGTCCTTTAAAATTGATCTTAAGAATGAACTGGGTCTAGGATAATTTATACTTATAATGGGGTTTGAGAACAGTTGTCGTAGAGTGATAAAATAATTGACCCAGCCACAGTCAGAAGGGCACCTGCAGAGGAGGAGCACATAAACATAATGACCAGGGTTCCTCAGAAAAAATCTGCTACGACCTATCAGCCCCCACAAGTGAAGGATGGGAAACAGCTTTCCTTATAGAAACCTTGAAAGAATTCTGCTCTGTTTCCTAATGTGTTCCTGTCTCCTCCTCTCGGCACAGTCCTAGAAGTCCCTTACCAACCCCTGAATTTCACATTCTTCGACAATGCTGCTTCCTTTAGAACCAAAGCTCTCCTTAAAGACATCAGTGAGGAGCAGAGATTCGGAGACTGGGAAGGGCAGAGAACACATTTTCTTTCTTTCTTTCTTTTTTTCATTTTTTTTTTTTTGTGAGAGACGGAGTTTCGCTCGTTACCTAGGCTGGAGTGCAATGGCACGAT